CGTACGTACTACTACTACTCTCTCTCTCTCTCTCTCTCTCTCTCTCTCTCTCTCTCTCTCTCTCTCTCTCTTCTTGGCGACAGTTTTGGCCGAGGAGGAGAATACTTGGTGAAAAGGGGGAAACATCTGGACGGTGTTGAAAAGGAGCGAAAGATGGAGAAAGATGTTAGGCCGAGGAGAGGAGGGGGGAGGAAAAAAAAAAAATTGCGAATCTGGAAAGTGGAAAGTGGTTTCGAGGTTGCATTCAGGTTTGACGAGTCGACCTGTCGAAAGGGAGAATTTTGTCGAATCGATTCTGGCCGAGTTGCGAAATAGTTAGGTGGAATTAAGTAACCGTTCGAATTACAGAGAATTACAGTTTTAAATTCTTTCGAATCTGCGAGTTGTTCTTACAATTTATATATCTTGCAATTTTATTACTTATATATATATATATATATGTCTCGTGCAATTTTTCAATATAGAATTCTATTTACAATTACACACACAAGATATCCAATTAAGAGATGCTTGGAACTTTTTAAATTCTTTCAATTAAAACACTTAAGCCTGGATAAAATGGGCTTTCAATTTAGACTCACGATATAATCGTGGCGGACAGATAGGCAGGATTCATTGGCCATGAAATAGAAAGGAAATAACGGGGTGCGAAAGTCGTCGGTTCGAGGATCAGGAGGGTGGAGCAGGAAGCGGGCGCGAGCTCCTCGAGGGAGCCACCTTCTCGTCGAAATTCCGCCCATCGAGGATCGAGCTTTTATCCGCTCGTTGCAAAATAGAGCCGAATAATGGGGGCCCCCCGATAACTTTGAACGAAGAACAAACCTCTTCGACGGAATGGCAACCGTTCTCTCTTGTCCCACGGTGGACAGCTGTCCGTCCATCGGCAACCACCCGCTGGATTGTTGTGACTGGATGTTTGAGCGACAAGAGGATCGACTTTTGAACGAGATCCGCTATAAACGTGACGCTTGAAATAAAACGTCAACTTGGGCTATCCTTCCAGAGAAGAATATAGTCTCCGATATAACGTCTTAAGATTCGACGATAACTCGAGATAAGATTGAAGGAAAAAAACAAAAAAATCTAGGTAAATCTATCTAAAACGTGTTTGGGTTTCGAAAATTTAAGCATAATATCTGAGATGCAATTTTGACGAACGAAACGAAGCAATTCGAATTGTAAGAGAAAAATCTTTCTTTCTTTCTTTCTCCCTTCGTGGCAAAAAAATTCAGACTTGGGAGTAGCGAGTCGAAGAAGAAGGAGAAGGGGGAGGGAGAGGGACAGGATGTTGTTGGTCGCGGATAAAAGGCGACCAAGGTTTAGCATGACAATGCAGGTGCCTCATCCCACGTCAAAACGCAGCGTGGCGCCACGGTCAAGATGCGTACCAGACCGATCGACTGGTCCGTAATTGTTTAAGAGGATTAGCCGGGGGTAAAGTTTACGCGTGTCCAAAGAGTGGAGCCGCTGATATTTATCCCGACATTAGCCCCTCTGATCCCGGAAAATTCCAAACGATAAAAGTGAATGAATCACGCGAGCCTTCCTCGAAATATATACATTTCTTTGTGGAAGCGTTACTTATTCGTGCTGAAAAAAAAAAAAATCAAACCGAAGAGAATTCGATACACGATTCCAATTAACGAATATCGACGTTGCGAGATAGTTGCGAGAGTCGAATGCACGAGGGCCGTGAAAAAGAACAGAGAGAGAGAGAGAGAGAGAGAGAGAGAGAGAGAGAGAGAGAGAGAGAGAGAGAGAGAAGAGAGAGGTAGTAG